GCACAGTGTCGTCCGGCTTGATGGATTTCGCTTTTCCACGAAGTTGGTCGAGTAGCGGTTTCATAAGGGAAGCGCATTTTGGTACGAACCACCTATAGAAACTTACAAGGCCGTTAAACGTGGGTAATTGCTTGATGATGGTCGGTTCTGGGTAATCCGGAATGGCCGCCACTTTGTTCTTAAGTGGTCGGATACCTTGCTCGCCTATAGTGTGTCCTAGGAAGTCTAATGAGTCAGTTCCGATTCGGCATTTCTGAATGTTGACAGTAATGCCATGTTTTTGTAGTCGGTCGAAAACGAGATCTCTTTAAAACCTTTATGGCACTGTAGGCTAAGGAACAATCGAATATTTCTCTACAAAGCATTATATGGACTCTCATTTCTAACCTCCTGTCCAACTATGATCCATGACCCAGCCTGTAGACTAAGAAACAACGCATGTACACTACTTACCGTAAAACACCGAAAACAAATGCGTTGTAGGTTTTTTACAGTAAAGCATAGTTTATTGTGCAACAGGTTGTCAATACCCATCCGTAACTGTGGCACTTTTACCAAATTCAAAAGTCTAATAACACTATTCCTTGACACGGAAGAGCTTCATTAACTATTCCTTGAACTTCCGCTCACCAGTGAGGAAATTTATTATGGATCGCCTAATATCTAGACATATCATGAATATAACAGACTCCATTGTCATTAATATGAATATAAACAAGTGACAGAAAACATGGTTTACTCTCTCCCACTATTCATTGAATAACAGTTATGCCATTATTCTCTTACTCCTCACTTCCAGATTCCGAATCCCTCTAATGGTTAAAGATACGTTGTGCTTACTAAGTGACAAGTCCTTTTTCTTCTGTTACAAGTAGAGAGATAACTCACTTATCTTATGGATGCTGATCAGCTAGGGCCAACTACAAGAAGCTGATAGAGTTCTAAATTCTTGTGAATTGCTCAATGTTTTGTTTTTTTACTCCGAAAATTTTACACTCCCAAACTCTTGCAGATTCTTTGATTTACTATCTGTCTTTACCATCTCTTAACCAAATATAATCTGACCTGGGTTTTTCAACTTTTTCTGTGTGAACGTGAGATTAGAATTTGTGTAGAAGGAAAAAAAGTAAAAATTACAACCCATATGCATATGTTGGTAGAATAAATCGTAAATACATAAACATGTGAACAGTGAATAGCCTCTTCACTCACAATGGCTTGTTCATGATTACATCTAACTTACCATAAATGATCCTTTCAAATCTCATAGAGACCACATTATTAATTCTATCCATGGATTTCATTTTGATGGTTTGGTTGATGTCACATTTGTATCATAGTTCAAGAAATACGAAGATGTATTCAAGGTTGACCTAGAGATATTTGATCATGCCGCAAAGGTCAGAGTGTTGCTACTCAAACTTGGCACAGTAGAACATGAACGCTACACCAATTGACATAATTGACATTGTTTGAAATAACATTCATTTCACCTGTCTTCTGTTTTCTCATTTTTGACTCGGGAGGGTTCTGACGTCTGAGTGCTCAGGTTATACGCGGTATGTTAAGAATCAAAAGCTCTAGATATAACGATAAAACACTAACATAGTGTATTGCGGTATGCGTTGCTGATGTCGACAGACATAAGTAGTATATATCATCAATCGAAAGTGGAATGCCTAGAGGCAGAAGGCTGAGAAGATCGAAGAAAAGAGAACGAGAACAGAGAATGATTGGTATGGAAACGAAGGAACAACAAAGTCTGTGACAGTTGATTAGTATTTTGCAAATGAAGTATTACTGTGTGGTTCTCAGATTTCGCTAAGAGATCCCCATTTTCATCTTCCGTCACAATATTACTCGTCTACTTTATCAAATGTCGGATAATTTCTGGACTATGTACTGAATTGAATAAAGCAGAGCGAAGGGACCATCGTATTCTAAATCAATGGTTGTGATACCATGCTAGACATGTGGTTTGATGACACTAGATTTGTACTGCTGTAGGAATTTTACTCCTGAGAAGTCAAAAATTACAGTGCAAATAGTTATTCAGTTCCCCTTAAGTTCTATTGGTTACTTGTTTAATGTGTAGTGTCAGTCATTATTCTAAGCCCATAATATATCTGATTCCAGTTTTTGGACAAACCAATCTATTCATTCTACTTCAGTCGTATTTTGACCTTGTCAATTATTCGCTTATCAGTCTTGACTGTTTTTATATGAGCGAATATGTGTGTACACTTCATATCCCATGTCTCATTACATGCCTGTAGTTTATTTTGTCTGCCCATAAATATTGAGTAACGCCTGGCTAGAAATGGAGTTGGCTTACCAGCCATCTCCCTTGCGCGTCCTTTTTGCTGTGTTCTATCGCATTCACTTTACATACAAAATATATGTATACGAAAGTTCATTCTCGTCATTTGACTTATCTAAATCCGTTATTAACTAACGCGATTAAAGTAGATGATTATATACGAGGATAGGTGATAACTAATATTCATACGATCCAAATGGAGTCAGATCAACGGGCCACTAAATTGGTGAGCCCTTTCAACAACGTCGTTCGATCTAAATGACGACAAAATTACGGGCTTCACTAAAAATGGTTTCACTAAATAATGAAAACCAATTTTTACGATTGAAAAAGTTTCTTGAATTACCAGATCGAAATTCTTCCTTTGTTGTTTCACCATCCTCTTTTGATGTTATATATCTAAATAATCATCGTTTATCACTGTTACTAGAAATTAATGAAGGTTAGACCAATACACCGCCACTCAAGTAAAAATCCACCATGGTTTACGCTTGTTTGATAAGAAGATATAGAAAGATAAGCTGACATTCTTTCATCTGAAATCATGAAACTGAATCCCAAAAGGAAGATATCTATTCAAGGAGGAGTAAATGATATACTCAACAAGCATAGACATATTACTAGCCTGTGCTCATACTTAATCTCAAGGTCATAGTGTACATAATATATCATAAGCGAAGCAACCTATACAACTACCCAAGGTCTTATGGTGTTCAATATAGACATGTTAAATCCACATGAGTGTATATTCATTTTGGAATGCAATATCTGACAAAGCACCTAACTATTAAATGAATCAATTCAATCCAAATGGTCAACTAGCGGTCAGTAATGTAATCATGTCGAATATCTTATTCCTAAATCCTTCTACAATACCTTCACCTGGTTCCATGTCTTTTTATTTATTAATTATTACTCTTCACGTTTGTATAGGGAGTGATTTTGCATGGTATAAGAAGCATGTATCATTACTAGATTGGATTGTAGAATATAACACGAACATCTTCAATAAAAAACAGTACGATCCTTCATTGTCTAAACATTGAATAAGTTCCAATCAATATAGTAACAATATTGATAGGTTGGAATTCTTTCATACATAACAAATTAGAATGAACATAACAGATCGACTAGTTTTCAATCATTAATTTCTTTAAAAATAAAAAAAAAGTTCCGCAAATTTATTTAAACAATAGAAAAAATGTAAATGACATAAAATATGATTTACATTAAAAATTTGTAGGCAAACAACCATAATGTAAAAAAACGTTTTCCTATTTTGAAACAAAAAGAACCGTACTCACAATCATTATTGTTACTGGGATTATTTCGTACTGGAACAAACGAAATAAATTTCAAATATACATACGATAATATCGATGAAAAACTAATGTGGAGGGGAATCTTATTTAAAAGGAAAGAGGAATATGGAAGAAAAAAATAAATATCTCACTGTATTAAATATTCCATTGAAGGTTTTTTCTTTGAAACAAACAAACAAACAAACAAGTGGAATGAAGACACATTTCTTTTTGTTTAATTTCTCTCATCTAACATAGACACTAGCAATTAGTAGTTCAATCCATATTAAACATCAAATGATATTAAAAGAATCCAATCACATATATAAATTGATATTTTCTCGTCGAATGAATGGTAGACTATAATTGATGGATGACCTTTGAGTGATGCTTAAATGACCTCAAGAATATCTACCCAGTTTATGAGAATAAAAGAGTGGTCATAATTAGGATTAGGATCTTTAGTTAGAAATCCGGGTTAGGAATTAAATTTAGGGTATTCATCATGAATTGACATTAGCTATCGTGTCAAAATGCTGTATGATCATATTAATAAATGAAGTTGGCGTCAAAATCCATGACATGCTGCCTCTAAGTTCATTGGTTCAAACAAAGAAAGAAATAGTAATCAATTTGTAATTCAATGGTTGTAAAATTAAAACAAAAATAAAATTACATAGATGATTAATTATTGCAACAAATTATGTAAGAATGAGTCGTTTTCAGTTATGAACTCCTTTGATTATTGCCTCTTCCTTCTCTTTTTTTTGTTCATTTAAACTAATATCCTTTAACAGATTAAATCAACATAAATTTTAAAATAAATAAAAACAAAAATGATCATTTACAATACAAAGTTTACAATTTAATAGGACAATTCAATATTTCATCTTATTATAAAATCAAATCAACCAATGATTGAAACGTATTCTTTATTGATGATGGGAGAAAACAAAAGAAGAAATGAGTTGTTCATTTGGAAAAAGAAAGTTTATTCATTACTGTTTGTAACAAACAAGATAAGATACTGTTCACAAGCCATTGAGTTTAATGATGTATTTTATTATATAATGATGATTGATAAGTTCATAAGTAAAATGCTTATTGAATTACTTTTTTTACTTAAATTACATACCAAAACCATTTTACCTTTTAGTGTAATTCAAGAAGAAGAAGAAGAAAGAGAGAGAGAAGAGAAAGGAAGGAAGTGGTTGGGAAAGGAAAGACAAATTATGAAAAATGAATTGTAAAAATAAGTACACTCATAATCAGTGAACAATTCAATATAAAATTCTTTAATGAATATACATATTGCATAAACCAAATTAAACTAATCCTAAACCAAACCAAACCAATTCAATGGTCATATTCATTAAAAATTATACATGTTCATGAATTGAATTCCCATTTGTAATATACACATTTTTTTGCCATTTATATAAACATAAAAAAATAAATTGACATAGAACAAATGTACCAATACCATAGGATTCAACATTTTGATAATATGTTAATGATGAACATTCATTCCATAATAATTCAATAATTTGTATAACAATACCATTAGCTAATTTATCCGTAAATGACATATAACCATAAACAAATGCACCATGTTGTTGATATTTTCCTATTAAATCTGATACCATTGCTAATGATGTAATTAATATAATAGTACAACCGATACCAAGTATACCAGCAGCAATGTATATACGATGAATTATTGGTGGATTACCAGGATAATTAACTAATATACAAAATATTGTGACAAAAATTAATCCAATTCCAGAATTTGTCTGTAAGTTGATAATAATTTTTTTGTTAAAAATCCAGAAAAATTTATAAAATGGAAAGGTAATTGAAAAGTAAAACAAATTTACAGGAAAATAGAAAAATAAGACTTTGAATTTAGTTGCTGGGTATTATATTTAAAAAACATGTCATTACTACCTTCTAAATGAGTTCATGATCTTCTTGTAAGGATCAATGAATAACAGTCATATTACTATATGATCAATATAATTCGATCAGCATTAAGGAACAGATAAACTTTGCAATGACTAATCAAAGTAAACATCTCAGTAGTACAGGAGGACAATAGCTGTTTGCATAGGTGTATGGTAACGGTTCAGAATGGGAAATCGGGTGACTCATGTTTTAATTTATCAGGGAGCATCAATCTCTTTAAGACTATAGAAATCCCTAACTAGAAAGCGACAAGTTCTAAGAATCCTAGGTTCAGCGTTTCCTGTTGACTTAAACAGAATACTTAACAGTCATGCTAAGAGTAAAACGGAGATTCATCAGCGACATTGAATGATTGATAATCATAGGTTGCAGATATAAATTATTAGATTGTGAAACAATTCATCAGTTGTATTGAGTGTACAGCAGTGAGTGAAAACAATTGGATTTGTCATTGCGATTAAATACACCCAGAGATAGTCAAAAACTTTCCTGATTGAATTCCTAGAATACACTCTGTTAATGAAACTTATTTACGTTCTCAACGTTATCCTACCTTAAAAACACATACAGAACATAACAATAATTAAACTGGATGTTTACAATTCCCTCAGTTGAAATAATGAGATATATTAAACAAATTGAGTTGCTGATTTAGTCAAAGTCGATTGATGATTCTGTAAAACTACAGAAAAACTTCAGTCACCAGTGCTCATCACCAAACTTTTCTCAAAGTTGATGATGAACAAAATAAGGCATGCATAATCATAAAGATTGATGTGCTCTTGTTATACTGTCGTGAACGAGAACACAAGTTGAGATAAGTGAATGTTTTCAAACACTAAATTACAGAATTTCTTAGTAAAATCTGAGAACCATACTGTAAATACTTAATTTGTAAAATATCAGTCAATCGTCTTAGACTTCATTCTTCCTTCATTTCCACATCAATCATTCGCTATTCTTATTCTCTTCTCATCAATCTTCTCAACCTTCTGGCGCCAGGTATTTCACTTTCGATTAATGATACATACTACTTACATCTATCGATATTAGTAACACGCACAACAATACTTAATTAAAACTTTTCATTTTAAAGACGAGAATTCTGTTGATTTATTGTAAACTATGAGGATTGTGTAAATATTTATTTAAACAATGATATAAACATATCAGTAAAAGATATGACTAGATGAAAAAGCAAAATTACATTTTTAACTCATTTCAATTCTTGTTCATCATTACCATTTCTAATCTAATATGATGATTATTTGGTATCATATTTATTTGATATTCAGTGTGTTATTTTATTTAGTCTAAAATTGGTTTGCTTCAGTGTAATGATTATTTAAAACATGATATTCTATGCATTAAATTAACCTTAAAGTATGTTCAGCATGATATGCACCATACGGTTTTTTATGATCCTGGGTATTTTTCATATATGTGACTTTTAATAAATAATAATCAATTGTGTATACAAACTAATATATGACTAATTGTATCTTCAACGATAGTTATTGTCAACTTTTCAGCGTGAATAAACCTGTAGTTGTACCAGTCTTTCGTGTTATTACATCGTATCGTGGAAATTGTAATGGTTCCTTGTTTTAAGAATAAGCAATAAGTTTAGCCAGTGGACCTGATCCGTATCGGGTGTGAAGACGATGAAAGATGGCCGCGCAATGTCGCGGATTGGTTGAGGTTAGAAATTAACACTGTTGTATGCTGACTCAGTGGTCTAGAATTTAAGCTTTCTCACGTGCGATCGAAGATCTTGTGTACGATTTTCGGTTATAGAGATTTGAACACGCAGTGTTGAGGAGTCCCATATCAGGAAGAAACGGCCGCCCAGTGTCTCTAGATCTTCTAAAATAGTCTAACTTAGATCGGTTCATAATTTCAATGTGATTCAACAATTTTCACAACACTATACTTAAAATAAACTATTGATTCAAGCAATCTTCTATGAATCTTATCGATTTCTCATTATTGCTGAGATATACAGTGTAACAATTTGAAACGGTGCCTATTTTTCACTTCTTCTCTTACATTATTTTGACTAACACCGATTGATATGTATGTTTGAACATGAATAATAAACAAAAGAACTTACTTCACGACTGATAAGATCCTGTATTGGTTTTTGTACCATAGTAGTAGCAATACTTGTCAGGTACACTGTTAAAGGAACTAAAGCCATTGTAACTTTAGGTAAACGTAATGAATGTAAAAGGTAAATTGTTAAATAAGCCTGAAAATTAAAAAAAAAGTTAACTCAATGTAAATGTACAAAAGGTTGACTAGTTTTCAATAATCCTTAACAAATCTTCACCAATTATTTAAATTAAGACATTAAAACGCATTGCGAATTTATTAAGGGTCGGAGAAAGTCGAAAACTAATTCTACCTTATATTAATTTTCAGAATGACTATCATAGGAATGGTAAGCGTTTTTTTAGCGAGTTAGTTTTCTACGGGATGGGGACGCTAACCCCATGCCCAACCCTCCTCCTTTACCCGGGCTTGGGACCGGCAGTAACTCTAGAAGAGCTACAGGCGGAGTTTATCATAGGAATACTAAATCATTTTCAAATTACGGAAAATAAATTTGTTACTAAATAAAAGAAATTCATTATGATCTGGTATTCGTTGATTGATTATTCAAAATTGTAGAATCCTGGATAGTTATTCTGTGCGAGTTTCAAAGCTATCAGTAATATGCACTAAAGATTTCGGCGAGACAATAATTTATGGACGAGCCAATCAGAAGTGTTTGAGGGATTTCAAGGTCACTGCGCCATTTTCAGTACCTGATGCTCACGTACGATCGGTTTACAGTGGATTTTAGAGATGTGATAATCGAGCCACTACAACAGATGAGACTACTAAGAAGTTCCTTTATTTGTGACTGCTTTACCGTGTGCAGACTATCGTGATGAGATTGTCTTTTGCTGTTACTTATGTTGGAGGAAGAAGTCTGCTCGAATGGGAACTTTCTTCGCTCGATCCCGGTTGAGACTATGACAAATCATGATGATTGTTGCGAATTGGATAATAAAAGCATCAGTAACACTGGCTGCAACATTTGTGGACGTTACTGATGCTTCAGCTATTCAGTGGTATGAGTAATGTAGAGATATATGTGCAATAAAAACGACAAGTTTACACGAGTTGTTTGCAGGAGTTGGGAGTATCGTTGAAATAGACAAAACAGTAGTGAGGAAGCGAAAATTTAACAGAGGACGTAGTATCAAGGAAGACAGGGTTAGTAGCACTTCCATAAATATATCTGACATGTACTTGGAATTTACGACAGATCAATCTAAAAGAGACACTTCCAAAAAGTCAGAAACCGATAAGCAACCACAATAATATCAATTATACGGGAATACGTACAGCCGGGTACTACAATATATACGGATGATTGAAGAGCCTACCGATGCCTGCATAGACTTGGTTATGTGCATCATTTTGTTGTCCACAAGCGCCATTTTGTGGACCCTACAACAGGAGGGCACACTGACAATATTGACGCTATGTGGTCGAGGTTAAATGAATTTTTACGACCTTATCATGGCTCGAGAGGTGGACTATTATGGAGCCATATGGATGAGTTCCTCTACCGTATGCGTTACGATTTCATAACCTCTGAACTTCTTTCAAACCTTGATAGGTTTTTGAACCATGTAGAAGAAGTATATCCACTTTAATTCTTTGATTTTTTATAATAAACTTTACTTTATACTGTCTCCTGATTGGCTAACATTTCACAAGGTCACTAAAGATTCGTTCAAAGGTCGTCTATAAATTATGGTTCCGCCGCAATTTCTCACGCAATTAAACCTATTATCAAAAGATTTTACGGTAAGTTTAATACTGGTGGTCTATATTTTTCTAGCCTCGTTCAATATCGATGGTAGTCAATAAGTGACAATTTTCGACCAGAACTTCATGAAATCTGTTTTGAAACTACTCAGTAATGTGAACATATTCAATATCCATACACAGTGATTTCTTTTTGTTGTTGCAGAGATTGTGTTTTTAGAAATGAGTGGCCAAACCATGATACTTTCAGTGCTTCTAGACAAAATTCAAAGGACAAACTTCAAACAGAAGTGAACGGTGAGAATTTCTCGACGAGTAATTGGTTACTTGTCCCGCTGACTTTGGACTTGATTGACTTTAACATATGATTATCTGTACATTTACTTGGATTGTTTTCTTCTTTGACCTGATTATTGGTCTTATTGTGATGGTTTCCTTAAAATATCTTACTATTTGAAAGTTAGATTACAATGTTATCTTCATTGTCCTAACTTTCGACTAACATAAAGTTGCAAACATTCCCATTTTCCAATGAATATTAACTTGTGATTAAAATTGTTTTTCTAACGACTTACCTCCTTGATCATTTACTTATGAAGCATTTGTAAGAACTAAATGATTTGATTTATTAGAATACATGAGAAAAAATAAATACTATTTCTATTTGCAGCTCTTATTATCACTATTATCACTATTATTAGTAGTTTGACAACTTCACTTATCTTGGAAGTTTGATCAGCCCTAATGGGTTGGTGTCTGACAAAGTCTGAGCACGGATTCGAAAAGCTTGTTTGGCTTTTACCAACTTACGTCACCTACGGCGAAGGCGAGATATCCGTCTATCAATTAAGGGACGAGTAAACTGCGCGGCCGTCCGTTCTGTTTTAATTTACGACAGCAAAACATGGCCATTAAGAGTAGAAGATACTCGTGAGCTACTAGTATTTGACCACAGATGCCTTAGAAATATTGCTGGCGTCTGCTGGGATCACCGGGTAAGTAATAGTGAGGTTAGACGCAGAGTATTAGGAAATGATGGTTATGAATCTTCATCGACTGAGATGGTTGGGCCACGTGTTACGTATGCATGAACACCGATTACCACGACGTGCAATGCTAACCGGTTTTCGGGATGGTTGGAAGAAAGTTAGGGGTGACCAAAACAAAACGTGGCATCAGTGCTTGAAGTCACTAACTTCTAGTTTGAGTCATGTTGGTAGATACAGATTACTTGGTTGTGGTCCGCGTGACTATCGTAACCAATGGTTGGAGACTCTTGGTGACATGGCTCAGAATCGTTCACAATGGCATCGGTGTATATACTCTCCGTCTTCCCTTAAACTAAGAGATTAAAATCGCTTCATATCTTTCTTTCTACGAACTAATTCTTTCTTCCTGTACTATATCCTTATATGCAATCTTTCTTTTATATATTACCACCTCTGAATTAACTATTTTTATGAATCCGGTGTTCATGTTGTTGTGTTAATGAGGTATGGCAACTTGGACCTATGAATATATGTGCCTGGTCCTACGTTTTAGCTGACTGATTGACTGATTATTATTATTAGGAACATTTGTCCAGCTAAGTAAATGCTTTATGATTATGAAGCCTTCATTATCATACTAGACAATATTATCGGTGCTTAATTCATAGAATTCTCATTATCCTTAATGTTTTAATTTAAAATTTTCGACCTGATTCACCAATTTTACTAATACTGAAATGAGTTTTCTTATCTTAATGCTACAAGACAGTAATCTTGGTGTGTACCCTACATTTGTATATGAAATTCAATTGAAAATTTTACACATACTCGTTAAAGGTCAAAATTGATAGCGAACTGAGATCAGTTAAATACTGTAATTATAAAACATTATTGTGAAATGAATTTCGTTTTTATTTGAAATTCTTTATATACAAACGGATATACACAGAATACCTCCAGGTTGGAATCACTACTTTTAGATTTCATGTTGAATGCGTCAACATTTTAAACTAAATTTGTAAAATTATTTATATAGAAAAACAGTATTAATTTATTCTTTCAATGTCTACTTACAATATAAAAGACCAGACTGATATAAAATTTTGGTCTGTTTTCGTAACTAAACTCCAATTATTCCAACATACGATGGTTGATAGCATAGGATCAGATTGAGAAACAGTTAATGATAACTAAACCAAGACATAGTGGTGTGGCAACTCGAACTGATGTACGTACGTACAAAGTTCTACGTTGTTACTGACTGACTGACATAAAACCATTAAGTCATTGATTGTTAATCTGATGTATGCGTTTTTGAAAGATGTAAAGTTACAATTTCAAATTTATGTGATAATTTCAATCAGTAGTTAGATATGTTAAGTGCTATGAATCGAAATCAATGATTTTGATATAGATTCAATTCGAATCATCGTGTATACTTTTTAATTATTGTTCGATTTCAATAGGGTTTTTAGAAATTTTACAGGTTGAAATCATGAGTCAATTGAAGCTAGTGTTTGAAGAAACTAACTTCTAGTCTGAGCCATGTTGGTAGATGCAGATTACTCGGTTGGGGTTCGCGTGACTATCGGAACCAATGATGGGAGACTCTTGGTGACATCCACGATCGTGCATGCGCACTACTGAGGAGTCCCATACTAGGACGAAACGGCTTTGGAGTGCTTCTAGGTTTTCCATGGTGGTCTAGCTTCACAATTGACTCATGATTTCAACCTGTGAAATTTTTCCATACATTGATTTCGACTTTTATGTTGATAATTTTCTCTTGCATTGTACTGCTATGAATTATGAGTAATTTTATTTATTATTCAAATATACCAGATACATATTAGTATAGTTAATTACGAGTCTAGTGATAATACACGTTAATCCAAACTGAAGTAGATAAGGCGAGATATATATCATAACTGTCAAGTCACAGTAACATTCTAAGCACCTTCAAACAATGCTATTTTAACTGTGATTGATTAATCATGTTCTGTACAGAGGACTGATGATAATCATTTTCTTCTCATAGATTCTAGTTCATTTTAATTTATTCAGATAGAGAAATTCTTATATTCAAAAAAAAATTAAATTAACTGTACTTGCCTGTGATACATTGACAATTAGTCTAACAAACATGTAGAAAAAGCCAAGAATCCAAAATAATGGTAAACGTAACCAATCTTTCCATGTAGTAATTATATAAGCAGGATGTTTTATCTGACTGACAGATTCATGATTAGGATTATCCACTTTATTGAATGAATTATGTAAAAGTGGTGAATAATCGTGAAAAAAAACTATTTACCGCTTTTTTTATTAACATTTAAACAAATTTTTAATGTATGGATTTATATAATTGGGAAAATAAAACATTATTATCTTAAAACTTAATTCAATTCAGATCACAATTGAAATAAACATATCATTTGTTATCAGAAGAAGGGTTTTGTGGAAACTTTAGTAATTTAATAGTTGAATTCATGAGTCAATTGAAGCTAGACAACTATGAAATATCTGGAAACACTGGACAGCCATTTCATCACATTGTGAGAGTCTTCAGCAGTACGCATTCACGATCCCGCCAAGCATGATTCGAACCTAGGACCTAGCGATCTCGTGTGCGAACGTGTAACCTCTAGACCACTGAGCCGGTCGGCGTTCAACGGTGTTAATGTTTAACTTCAAGCAATCCACGAAATTGCGCCACGATTCACTATTTGTTATGAATTTTTGTAATCTAGTCTACGAAAATAAGATTGAGAAACATCGTATGTATTGTGAACTGAATAAAGTCACATTATTAGTTTGAGATTCAGTAGCTAATTAATATCGTAATAATCTTAAGTGATAAGGTTTATGGGTTCAATCCCATGAAATTATTTATTATGGAGTTTTGACCATAAAAATATCCTTTCTAGTTTTTTCCATTATAGTTCCTCAGGAGATATTGATATACGATAAAAAATATTTCATTGTGACAACTTTTGTCAAATGAACGTTCTCTGTACACTTGATTGATTGATAATTAGTGAAAGATATCGTGATTTCTAGTTTGTAATACTGATTGAATTCTATTTGTTAAGTTTCAATGTGAGTGATGTAAGATCTCATATACCGTGTTGAGATATTAGGTGATTGAAGGTAGTCAGCACTAAATCATATATCTAATTTTGGCGATTGTTGGTACTCGTTAGGGAACTATTAGTGACGCCAGAGATTACGAAGTTGAACGATCTGAGTTCGAATCCGACATTCGGTATCGATTTGCTTCAGTTTGCTGACGAGTAAACATATTACCACTGACGTGTAATATTCACGATATCTATCTCCACTTCTACAAACTAGGATGTTACTTGTAACCAAATAACACTAATAGATTTTAAGGATCAAATATCGATTTTAAATCCTCGTTTTCAGCCTTAAAGTAGCATCATTATTGAGCAGTAGATTACAATACATTCAAACCCATGAACTCCACACATAACTTATACAGTTAAATAAGTGCTTTCACATTTATCGGTAATGGTATCTTCTTGTGATTGCCATGAGGTTCCTTCCAATGCACTGCTACATTAATACTATATTATAAACTATACTATATTATATTCAATGGATATCAACTAAAAGTATGGACGTCAATATATGAAAGTTCTAATTCATATGATAATATTGATTCATTTTACTTGAGTAAATAATACGTAATGAATAGACATACACAACACTAATTCGGTTTTAAGTAAAATCAATTGTAAATCAAATCAGAAATATTAATCTAATTTCTTAAATACATTATAGTCACGCACGTAATTACTTGAAGAAGAATAGTACTGAAACAGACGAATTGTCTTCATTATTGCTCTCTCTCTCTCCACATATATATATATATATATATATATATATATATATATATATCGTCCTAGCTAAATAATTATTTATAGTTCAGCCAGGGACCAATCTTAGTCAAACAGTTGTTGGGAACTAGGAAGCACTGGATAGCTGTTTCGTCCCAGTGTAAGACGTCTCAATAGAAAACGTCCATAACTCCACCAAAGTGTTCTAAATAATGAAATTTCCGTAAATCCTTCGAAGAAATTACCTAATCAACAGATGCGACAAACGGAATATCAGTGCACAGCAATATACAGTCAACGTTCACTGAATATAACGGAGACGATGATGTTACCAGTTATTCAATCATCAATCCACTTAAAACAGATATTTTATGTGAAAGAATGATCTCGTAGCCAGGAGCAGGCCACTAGATAAAAAAAGTTCAATTGATTCATCGATTTTTTGAAAAGAAAAACAGAAGTGAAGTTGTTTTGTGACCCATTTTCTCTGATAATCAACAAGTTGTTAGCTGATAAGTAATTAAGTCTAATTATCTTGGTAGCAGTTTTAATTCACCAATTTGTGAAGTTACTTGGTCAATGATTATATCTCCAAAAATAGACTCAAATTAGATATGGAGATCAGTTCTGTGGACATATTACCGGTCTAATCAGTATAGCCATTCACAGATTCTATGTAGTAAGTTTCTACACTATGACATTATGTATGAACGCACAATGAGCAGTGTGATGTGTTTCAAGCCACGGCTTATATTGATGTAGGTAATAGTGGTCCAATAAAAAGTTAGGTGGAAAAAAATGTTAAGTAGTAAAAATCATAAAATCAGTTTTGTTTATTCAACTTAAATATGGGAAAATATGTCGTTCATCCAACTTGATACCGTATAGTATAGAATAAAAATTTCGAATATTCATACTTACGGCTCTATTAAAAACAAAACAGTGAGTATTAATTCTTGTATTCAGTTACTATATCTTAAGTAATAATGTCATGTAATAAATTAATGTTCATTTAGTTTCAACAGCACTATATTGTATACTACATACAACAAGGGCTAGAAATTATTGGGTTTGAAAAGCTAGAAAACTTTGAAAGTGCAGATCGCTTTAAAACTCAAAACTATGGTGATATTAAATCACGATAAAAATGATTCTCGTTACACTGTAGAAAATACCAACTACAATAGTTTCACTTCTGTACAACGGTCGTTTGAAATTTACTATTGATGTTTAGGACTGCAATTGATCAGTCTCTTTTGGCATATGTTCATCCTGTACAGATTGTCTAGATATGACCAGTAATTCACGAGGATTTATTTTATTTTTTTAATCATAAACGGATGATGGCTGGCAGTGAAGTTAAGAACGAGCATCTCGTCTTATTTGGGAGTCATCACCTGAATGTACCTCCATCGTAGAGTTAATGTCCACCCCGGTACTCGAACCCACTCCACTGCTAACCACGATCCATCTCTGCTCTAAAAAATATAATTCTTTTATTTTTTTCTCAATATTCCATTTAAACTATATGGACAAATTACACAATCATCTACATTCAAAACAATACTTACCAACAGTTATAGGTCTTACATTGTGAATAAAATCTTTCTTTCTTACTCCAAAATGAAATAATAACATTGTTAATCCCCCAACACCAATAATTGTAAAACCTAATTTTTGAAAAGCTGGTATATCATCTTTACCAAAATCAATAATGGACGGTGAAGATAGTGAGGAATTTGAACATTTCGATAATGGATGTGAAGTCATTACCATAGGTAACATAATATATTCAACTTCATTGTAATTAAGCAATTTTCTCAACGGTAACATATCATTCATTGAGTTCTTAATACTAGTATCATTACGAATGTTATTATTATTATCAACATGATGTTGATGTTGTAAAAGAAGAAATGTACTAATATAAACAAGTAGATTACTAAGAACTGTGAATAAATAACGTAGGGAAGTCAATAAAGTACGTTCACTAGATTCCATAGATAATTCATTGATTAATGCCAAGTGAGTAATCTGAACTGCAGCCCATCCAGCCTAAAAACAACACCATAAACAATGGATTGATTAATTTTATGTTTTCTATGATCAAATACCGAATTTTTTTTAAATAGTTGGTTATATTTCACGAGTATAACCCGAGGTTATTTGCAAAACTTAATATGTCCAATAATTGTGTTATATATTAGTATAGGGTTGTTGTTGAGATTATTAAGTTTTTGATTGAGATCATGTTAGACACTATCATCATTGGATACCGGCTCAGTGGTCTAGTAAGTTAAGTGTTCACGCGCAAGACCGAAGGCCCTGGGTTCGAAGCCCGCGAGCGGGATCCTGGGTGCGCACTGCTGAGGGGTCTCACAATAGGATGAAACGGCCGTCCAGTGCTTCCAGGTTTTCAAAGGTGGTCGAACATCAATCGGTTCATGATCTCAATAAAATAATTGTATTATATTCAAAACTTTAAACGATTTTTCCGTTCATTTTATGGATGAGGGTTGAATGTTAGAGTGTGATTTTCATTGTGAAATTACTTACAAAATGATTATCTTGAAGTTTGAATTGCGTTTTTCTCGCGCTAAAGTCTCTAATAAAAAACAATCTTTTTGACTGCTATAAAAGTTATTTTCATATCGTCCTGCAAACTTTTTAGTGTGCTATAATTTCACCTTATTCAGAGTATAGTTGCTTGAATAGTTTTACTTTGACCCTTATTAATAGTTCTTTCTTCGAAGGTACCCATTAACAGCAGCTGGTGACAGCAGAATAAAGGAGTTGTGCTATTCGCCTATTGAACAGTACCATAATGTTATTTCCCTTATCTCACGACATCAAAACTAATACTATTCATACTGGTAAAATTTTTACAGAACGTCATTTATAGATAAATATACATTATCAGGTGACAAAGTATAAAATCTTGCAGTGAAATTTATGCTTCAAGCATGAACAGGTGAAGATTAAATGGCTTTACGACTAGAAGCGAAATCTAAGACACACACTTCATCTTATATGGGATTCGTCATTGGATTTACTTGCATCTCAGCATTGATGTTCACACTGGAATGGAGAGTCGATCAGGGTTTGAATAGCTCAATAATAACTCCTCTAACCGTATAACTTATGCACTCAAAGCACTTAACCTTCTCTCATTTTACCAGTTTACATTAATAACCAAAAGTGATTAACTGCAAAATGACTGAAATAATATCGATATTTTCGAATAAATTTGGGATGAACAAATCACAGAAACTATTTTTATTCACTACAAAATTTGTCAATTAAATTTTTTTCTAAAAAACCAAATATTTTGAATGGAGTAATTACAAAGTTCAACTTGTAATTTAGTGTGACATATTTACAATTAGCTATTTCTATGTGGCTTAAAGCCCCATACCATATATGAGGCTTGGTGAGACTGCTACCCAGTTGTCAAGATCCAATCAGTTTTGAACCAACATCCTGGTTGTTCAAAACCAAGTTTTTTTTATCCCTTAGGTAGTTGTATCAGAGGTTAAGTGATAAATTATAAATTAGGGGGAATTTCTCGTTTTTCGTAAAACTTGGACATACAACTAAGCGAAGTAAAAAAAAGAAAGGAATTTAAAGCCAACAATTAGTTTGATGGTATTTCATGAATTGAAAAATATTTGTCTTGAATAAAATCCTTACACAATCAATTGTGAAACGGTAGCATTAAGGTTTAAATATTTGACTTTCAACTGGTAGATTCATATCCCCCTTCACTTAATTTATCTAACAGGGTGGCATAGCTAGCCATCAAGCAACAGAAGTATAGCTCAAAATTGAGTACATAAAATTTGTATTTAACGCATCAGTAAATCAGTTATAAAACTAACAATTAAATAAAATATGAATAACTTACTTGAAAAATTGCCACTAATGGTAAATAATAAATCATTTTCGCCAGTGTACTAATATTGGATGAACCAAGTGGTGGACCAAATATTAAAGGAAATGAAAAAATAATTAATATACTTCCACAAAGATGCCATATTTTACGACTAAATGGTCGAAATCTTCTTAGAACAGAGTTGAATCGTTGGAAAAAAGACGAATTATTATTATTACCAGTAGAATGAATAACATCAGAAGAGTCTGTAGACATGTAGTTTTTATTATGATTGGCTAAATGTTCATTAGAATCATGCAAACGATCATTGAAATTATTATGTGTAACTGATGATGATGCTGACAAAGAGTGGGAAGAAGAAGAAGATATTAACAACGGTACAGATGACTGAGATGCAAATCTGTCCGAAAGTAGACCAATTACTGGTGTCATCAAACCATCAACCAATTGGCCAACGAGTATTATTAAACCAGCCATACTTGTTGGTATACCAATGCCAAATTTAAAAAATACCAAAGTATATGTAAACCATACAGATGCGCACAAATCATTTAAAACATGTCCAATTGCATATGATAAACGTAAACGCCACGTTAATCCCATATTGAAATGAATTCAATCCTGAAATTAAAAGCAAGCTGAAAAGGAAGGGAAGAAAAAATATCGATATATGTAAGCAGTCTTAATGGATTTATATTAGTAGTATAAGGGATTTGTTCAAGTTATTGAGTTTACATCACGATTTGATCTTAGTTAGACAATTACGGGAACCTAGGAAACACTAGATAGTTATTTCGTCCTTACACGGGACTCTTCACCAGTGGGCATTCACGGCTACGCTACGGATTTAACACATAATCTTTAGATTTCGAGGAGAACGCTTAATCTTTAAACTACTCAGTCGGCATTCAATAGCTAACATGTTTAATCTTAACCAATTTTCGATATTATGTAATCATTTTCTAATAGATATTACAATAGTTTGCCATTAGATGAGTACGAAAACTGGCAAAAAAATATCATACATATTTCTGTTTGTAATCAACCAAAACGAAAATATAACCAATGACCTGATCTACATAATAAATACATGATGTAACCCGAATTTAGTAATATAATGAGGTAAATGAAGAAAAAAAATTTTTTTAGAGATTTTTGTCTGGTTAGTTCTATCTTCGGTTGAAAACGATTAATCGACTAATCACATGGAATGTTTACTTGTTTTTTTTCATAATTCAGAAGCACATTTATATGGTATAATACTAATCGATATGATTGAAGCTTACACATTAATCATAACTGCTTCATAGTTAAATCAATGATCTAATTACCAGGAGTTTAATTTCTTTGACTCATACTATCATTTAATGAACTAGCAATAAAGATTGATTGATCACTTACAACATTAGATACCAATTAGCTAATAAGCTATACATGAAATATTTGCATAATATAAAAAGTACCGTTTGGCAGAACATAATCTTTCAAAAATCATAAAACACGTGTACCAGGTTTCTAAAACTTTATTTCGTCAACTTTAGAGTAGATGAATGACCATCGCTTTAAAAATACAGCCCTTTTGTAAGAGTATGCTTATTCTCTCTATGATTTCGTTATTTAGTCAAACCTTGTAAGTCCTCCGAGGGTCGGGCTATTCAAGATGCTTTGTCGATTTTTTGTAGCTGATATTTTTCTCAAACCTAAATGTTTAGTCAGAATCGTGTGCTTAAGCGATTTTCCAGAGTTCAGTTCATCACCGATTATTGGAAGGTATAAGTTACCCCATACATCCTGTTTTTAATAACAAAAGTCATAGAATATTTTAACCTTGAGCTAACCTTACAGTTTTTACAGGACTCACTGAAATACTTGGTACAATGAAGTTATTCCCTTGAATGGATTATCTCTGCAAACAAACATTAACGTCTCATGAACTGATAAGAGAACATTAGTATACTATAAGAACACTGGACAGCTGTCCTATGTTTTGAACACTGTTGGGGGATAACAAACTGCTATATCCTCGACTTTAATTATAATTCTACAGTTGATGTCATTCTAGAATAAATGGTTATTTAATACAACAAAGAAATAATTAAATTTCGATGTTGAAACTGGTGAAACATGAAAAATTCCAATCATAATAACAAAACAAAAGATAGTAAAAATTCAAACAAACTGAATACATAGTGTCATTTAATTCTATCCAAACAGTAACTACTTTTCATAGATGGCTTTTATCGTACACAAATATCGGTCTGAGAAGGAATAAAAATTCAGGAAGTGATCAAAATTCAGCTAGTCGCAATCTGAGTTTTTCAATGGTTTACAATTGATTGATCACTGAGTACTGAACAATATCATGTTTGTTTAGTCCTTTAGTATTGACTGGATGATATCGATTAAGCTGGAATATAGTCACTTGTCTAAATGACTTGACATTCTATGCCCTAATAGCTCAGAGGCAACAGTTGACTGTGAACGAGAGTGACGCATATACGAGTAAAACAATTCCATCAAGATTTCACTTAAGCCTTACTGGGGCGTGCCAACTAGCACAAAGCATTAATTATTATCTTCCAACGACTACCTCCAATCATCCTAACGTTTACCGATTCTAAATTTATCCATATTAACATAAAGCTATTACAAATATTTCATAGATGCTGTTAGTAATCTTCTATTGTACTATATACAAATCGTTTCGGAATATATCCAGTATACTATAAACAGTGGTTTGTTTTTGATATTGTTATCGATTTTAACGACTTTGATTAATTACTCTCTATTAGGATATGTTCATCCTGTGAGTATTGTCTTGATGTTCTTATTTCATCATATGATTTCATTTTATTCGGTTGTTAATATACCTGTTTAACAATCTAATAGCTACTCGAACTCAATCGCTTAAGGGACAATGAATCAATATTTGAAGCGTAAGTTATTAAATTAAATTCTCAAAGTAAAATTCAACAAACAGATGTACATACAGCTAAGTGAAAAGTTATAGTTAGGATGAAACATAACTCCTGAACTCTATTATTACTCATAATCAAATTATAATTTATTTGTTATGTTTTAGTAAAATTAGTGTTAAGCATGAGTATCTAATTGAAAGCAAGAGCAACATATTCACAACTGAAGAACACCTGGAACTCAAAACAACTGTCAACCAACACTAAGGTCAGAATTTTCAATACAAATGTCAAGACAGTTCTACTGTATGGGGCGGATACCTGGAGAACTACGAAATACATCATTCAGAAGATACAAGTGTTTATTAACAGTTGTCTAGGCAAAATACTTCGGATCCGTTGGCCAGAAACTATTAATAACAACCTACTGTAGGGGAGAACAAACCAGATCCCAGCGGAGAAAGAAATCAGGGAGAACCGCTGGAAGTGGATAGGACATACATTGAGGAAAGAACCCAACTGTGTCACAATGCAAGCCTCAGATGGAATCCTCAAGGCCAAAGGAGAAGAGGAATAGCGAAGAACACATTACGCCAAGAAATGGAGAGAGACATGAGAAAAATGAACAAAAGTTGAACAGAACTGGAGAGGAAGACCCAGGACAGAGTGAGTTGAAGAATGCTGGTCGGCATCCCATGCTACATTGGGAGTAACAGGCGTAAGTAAGTAAGTAAGTAATAAGTATCTAATTATTACTGGTAAGAGATTGAACAGTTGATAGTTTATATTATTGTTGAGAATAGAACATAGAAATTCTTAAATTTACTAACTTTAATCTAATACAACATTAACATTGTCGGTTAGTGTTGTAATAACTTTCCATGTTCCTTATACTGTGATAGATTTGAATAACATACAGATTTCTTATATGTATATTCGTTTGTTCACTTTTTTCTAAGTTAAAAACTACCATATAGTGATTCATTACATTTTATACTGTAATTATAAATGTTTTAGTCTATTAAATAACTTCCTGTTTATATTAAAATTGAAGTGATACATTATACATTATTGAATATTATAAATCTAATAATTAAGGGTAATTATACATAATTAGAGATGTGGGATTAAATTGTGATTATAATTCCGGCTAGTTATCGTGTAATTTATTCACCAATCAAAATATGACTTGCATTGTATTAAACCAATGACGTTCAACCGGTCTGATCAGCTTAATGTCCTTATTGGTCCTTTACGAGCCTAGTCCATCCAATTGAGTTCAAAATACCAATAACAGTTCCCGTTATAAGAATCATTTATTTCAAATATACTTGGTTTATATATCAACTAAACAGACGGTATCGCACCACAAAATAGGAAATAACATTTATACAAGATCATGCCAAAAAGTTGCTGTGAACGTGGGAGACTGTAATTAATAAACTGAATATAACTTAAGAACAGTAAATCGTATAATGATAAATTCTAGGTACAAATGAAGCTTATAATAAGGGAAATATAAATATACATAATCGAATTACTGAATAGTTATACTATAAAGAATATATAGATAATATTAGTCCGCTAATAGTTCTCAGAAGTTACTCGTAATTTAATATTCGCTAGGATATAGCATATTATGCTAATATTAACATAAAATGGTTGTAATTAGTAGATTGAAACAAATGAACTATGATTCCAAAAAAAAAACTCGAATGAGATTATGCTTTTTGAAAGAATGTTTAGATTTATGAGAAAACAGAAATTAATAAATGGTTGTTTTGTTCTAGTCTATAGAACTTTTTAGTAGTAAACACATACACATGAGACCTTATTTTGTGTCAAACCCAAATACTTCTAAATTTTACAACGAACATGATATCAATCAGTCAGTGATATTGGAAACTAAAAGTTTACACACGTTCGACTTCAGTTATTTTACAATTATATACTAATTTCATTCAATATTACTTATAAATGACAATAGTACTTGTATGGTATGTGCTACTTATATTGACATAAGTAGTATATGATGTTAGTCGTGAACAGAAGGTGTGGCAGCAGAGAGACAAGATGATCGAACAGTAAACAATGGAAACAAAATGCAATTTGTATGAAAATGCAAGAACAATGAAGTCTGAGTCATTTTAAGACAATTGGTGGACATTTTGCAAATTAAGCATTTACTTTATGATTGTTAGATTTCATTAACAAGTCCTGTAATTTTGTGTTGAATACATTCGATTGTCCCCACCCATGTTTTGTTCACTAAACTAGCATCGACTTGTGTAAACTCACAGATCATAGTATTCTATTAAAAATGCTGGGAACCCTTCTCAAAATACTAATCATGTGCTCTCAGATCGCTACTAGATTTTCCAAATGAAATAATTTTGTGGTCAGAAACATCTACAAATTGAATTAACCTCTAAAAGCATAACAGTTAAATAACTAATAGTTTTTATCAAATCTTCCATTGTTCAAAATTAGTAGATGGTTACTAACAAGTGTGCATATTCAATCTTGTATAAATAGTATTTACATAATTGTTAACAAGAAATGTATAACCACTAATCAATGTAAGACCTTATTAATGATTTTATGAATAACATTAAATGGCTAATAATAAAAAGTAACATTAATTATGTTTAAGAGAAAATAAATTATTTGCTAAATGAGTCAAGCGAC